CCCTTCCTGTCCTCATCCTCTCTGCCTGCTCATCCTTTAGGATTTAACTCAAATTTCAGCTTCTTGGCAAACACTTGTGCCGATTCCCTCTCTCCTGCGGCTGAGCTGCTGCAATAGCTCCTCCCTGCCGCTGGGTGTTTTCCAGAGCGCCTTTGGTTGGCCTTTCTTTCCCTTGGCCACAGCAGGGATTTTAACGAATGTCATCTTGCAGAACAACTCGGTGTTAGTCTGGGTTGACTAGAGAAACAAATCCAGAGACATTCATATGTGTATAAGAAAGAGCTTTATATACAAGAGCAATTGAATATTGAGAAAAAATCCCAGCCCAGTCCAGATCAAGTCTGTAAGTCTGATATTAACCCATATGTCTGATACGAATCTATAAAGTCCTCTTCAGACTCATGAAACCCATGTAAGGACGCTGAATGCAGGAAGACCATAGGCCACTGATCTTGTGGGTCCAACGGCAGTGGAAGTGTCTCGCGCTGGCATGGGTCTCCATGTAGCTCCTCCAACTCTAGGGCTCTGGCTGCCATCAGCATAGCTCCATGGGTCTTGTCAGTAGAATGTCTCAGGGAGGGGGTATGTATATCGCCTCCAACGAGCTATTTATCTCCTTAGCACCTCCAATGAGGTCATCAAGCTGCGACCTTATTGACTGGTTAAACTCCACCCCTTTACTTGTTAAGTCCCAAATTGACAACAGATTTTGTAACTACTACAAACTCTGATCCTTTATTTTGCTTCTTTGATCAGGCGCCTCTTTTCTCCCATCTTGTGAAGGAATGACTGTCCGTGCGTCAGCTCAATAAAAGAAAACACAGGTCAGTTGTTGACCAGTTGACTCCGACTTACGGCAAATGATGTCAGAGTAGAATTGTATTCCAGAGGGTTTCAGTGGCTCATGTTTGGACTTACAGCACCAGGCCTTCCTAGGCAACTTTGGGCAGACTTGGATCTTGTCCTTTCTGCTTAGGAGCTGAGTGAGCGATGCATCGACAGCCTCTAAGGATGCAATCATTTCATTATCTACAAACCTGATTCTTTCCACGTTTATAGACTACTGACCTTTTCATGGTCCTCGGATCCAAACCCCACCCAAGACAAGCATGCCCTGCCATCATTTCAGATTAACTTCCAACTAACCGAACCTGGGGTGGAGAAGACAGAGCTGGGGGATGATGGCAATAGGGAAGAGCTGGGATGGGAACTGGAGCTGGAAGTCAGGGCAGGGCGGGCCATTTAAAATGCCAGTGTGGCTGGTGGCCTGGGCACTGGCCTGCTGAAAGGGCAGCTCTCAGGCCCTGAACAAAGCTCCTCCTTGGCACAGGTGCCTGAGCAAGGGAGCTCTCATCTCCTTCCCGAAAAGATGCCTTTGGCAGAACCTGGGGTTCCTGGATCTGCTCAGGAGGCAGGTCTGTTGGTTTAGTTACACTACAAGCTTTCTAGTCCCGGCCTGACTGTTACAGCCTACAGATTCCTGGTACCCATCTGATTGAACAACTTAATTAAGATGCAATAAGAGGAAAGTGGGCCCTTCTGAACCCCGTGCCCATTCCCACAGGGCCAATCTATGACCATGGAGCTAGGAACTCTGTTAGATGCAAGGGGCTCCGGAAGACTCTCGGCCTGTTTATCCTGGTGATGATGGGGAAACGGAGGTCCAGGGCGGACAGCTGAACAACCCAGAGCTACTACTCATTGAGGTATTAACAGAAGAAGCCACTAAGGGAGACATTGGCAGACCTCGGACACGTCTCTACGACTCGTCATCCAGGGCTTCTCTCACTTTATCACATAACCAACTAAGTTGTTTAAAAGCATTTAAGACCATTGTTCGTAAGGAACACTGTCTCCTGGGACCCCAGACTTGTTTGTTCTTCCCTGTTTGTTTTTTTTTTTCACGACAGTGCTATGGAGATAAAATTCACATTTCACAATGTGCCCATTTATAGTGCACAAGTCAATGATTGTTAGTGTCTTCACCGACTTGTGCAACCATCACCACAATCCATCTTAGAACTGTTTCTCCTCCAAAAGATACCGTCACTTAGCACTCCCCCATTCTCCAGGCCCCAGACAACCTCCGATCGATTTTCTGTATCTATGGGCTTGTCTATTACAGACATGCCAAATAGATGGAGTTGTGCAATACATTGGATGGGGGGGGGGTTGCGGCAATGACTGGCTTCTTCTCTTCAGCATACTTAAAAAAATCCATTTATATTTCAGTGCGTATCAGTACTTTATTCTTTTTTACGGCTGAATAATGCTCCCACTTTAGGAATATGCTACAGTTTGTTTATTCATTCACCAGCTAATGGATGTTTGGCTTGTTTCTACATGTTAGCTATTGTGACCAATGCTGAACAAGATTTGGTGTGGCTCTATCGTTTCAAGTCTCCTGGGTCTATTAGGCCAAGGAGCCCTTCTGGTATACTGGTCATGCGTTGAACTGCTAACCACAAGGTAACCAGTTGGGACCCATCGGCAACTCCACAGGAAGACGGATGAGGCTGTCTGCGCCTGGAAAGATTTCAAGTTTGGGAAACTCATGGGGGCAGTCCCTTCTGTTATAGGGTCAATTGTATGGCAGTGTGGCTTGGTTTTGGATATCTAGGCATGGTAAATAGCCTGCCTGTATCTCATTAATCATATCAGTAGCGGTGTGTACAGGTGAGATCTCAAAGCACTATCATTTCATGCATCAGGTTTGTTTTTCACTTTCAAGGTTGCCCGTACAGTCCCAACAGCAGAGTGGGAGGGTTGCTGTGTCTCCACACCCCCTTGCCTCATTTGTTATTGGTTACCGTTGCTGTGGAGATTTTTCGTTATTGTGAATTACGTAAGTTTATGGGGCAGAGGATCAATCTTACATTCAACAGTTCAGACGCATTTTGTTTCAACTCAGCCAGCGCAACCCCCTCCATCTTCCATGGCTTGTTCTTTTTTCTCCCTCTTTCCAGTCCTCATTTCCCCCCACCCCCACCCCAACCCTCTGACCTCTGGATAAATGGTGCCTTTTGTCTTAAGTGGTTGATTCTATCACAGGGGTGAGGTAAGTTCCAGACCTGAACGATGACCATGGGTCATTGTCTCAGGGTCCCACCTGCCTCTGACGGGTCTCTATTAGGCTTCTGAGGATTTTTCTGTATTTTTCTTGCCCTTCATCCAGGACATTCCAATGTGATCTTTTCCGAGCAGCCGGAGGTTGTTGCCGCACCATCACCTGGAAGGGCACCATCTAGCTCGTTTGGTCTCAAGATTGTGGATGGTCCATTAGTCCGCTGGACTGATTGTGAATCCTTATGGGAGCAGAAAGCCTCATCTTTCTCCCATGGAGGGGCCGATAGATGGTTGGTATCCAATGCCATTCCCGTTTGCCCATCACTTGTCCGCAGGTGGCCGTACTGAGGTGGCTTGTGGGTTGCTGGGATGCTGGAAGCCACGCCACTGGAGTTTCCCATGGCAGCAGGGTCACCCACAGAGACACGTTTTGGTGGAGCCTGCAGACTAATAACAAACAACGAAGAAGGACGCGGCAGCCCACTTCGGTGGAAGGAGCCACTGGACGACACCTTTGCATAGAATCCTCGTTGGGTTCAGTGAAATAACTGCAGAGGTTTTTGAAAAGAGAGGGTTCCTAGAAATGTTGAGGATGATTATTTTATAGTGTTGGTTTGTTGCTTTTAAATCAACGAGTGTTTGCAGAGCACCTGAGCACATGTTTGTGTTAGGCACAGTGGAGTGATAACAGATCCAACATTCAGTGCCTGGAGTTCTCCCCTGCCCTTCCGGCCGTTTATTCTCTCCCGGGCGCGAGCGGCGGGCGCGCAGGGCGACGCTGCTGGTCCACGTCCCCAGACGTGTCCCTGCCCCTCCAGTCCGCTTCCACCCAGGAGCGGGCCGAGGTGGGCAGTGGGGCCTCGGCCGGCGCGCCCTCTGGCGGCCCCGCGCGGAGGCGACGGCCCGGCGGAGAACTGGCGAGGAGAAGGGGGAGGGATGCGGGCGGAGGAGGCGCGGGCAGGGGAGGAGAGGAAAAGTTGCGCTGGGAAGTTTGGAAAGTTGGGAAGTGGCTGCTGCGGGCATCGCCTCCCTCCGCGCGCGTGTGAGGGAGCGAGCGAGGGATCAAGAGAGGAAC